ATAATAATAATAATAATAATAATAATAATAATAATAATAATAATAATAATAATAATAATAATAATAATAATTCAGATAAGCAAAATTTTTAATAAAAAAACAAATAATAAAATAATGATAATAATAATAATAATAATAATAATAATAATAATAATAATAATAATAATAATAAAGAAATACAAAAACAATAAAATACAAAGATCAAAAGTGAGAAACGACATATGTATGTTGTGTTGTTAAAGAAATAAAAACAATTGAGACCCAGTAATTGTGCGTAAATGAGGAAGAAAGTCAGATCACCAACCTGGGACTTGGTCACATATGGCAGCAGGGTCTACCATCAGACAATACATTATGCTTCCAATATCTTCCCGGGCGGTAGTACCTCCCTGTTTGGTAGCTGCCATTATCTACTTCACCAGGCTCCATATCTACCTTAGTCTCTGGTTTATTATTTTTTCAAGGATTTTGCCAAGTGTTTTGTGGAGTGATATGGGTCTGTAGTTTTCTGCCTGTATTGGGTTCTTTCCTTGTTTTGGAATGAGTCTTATTTTGGCCATTTTAAATTTTGATGGGAAGAATCCGGCTGCTATTGATCGTTGTAGATAATTGGAATCTGTTTGATCATTGGTGGAGGTAAGTTTTGCAGTACGGTTTTATTTATTTGACTTATTCCGGGCGATTTATTCTTGAAGTTGGCAATTGTTTTTTGATGTGTGTTGTTAGTGGAGCAATTAGTGGGTTGTTGTTGTCTAAAGTGTGGAGGTTGATTCTCCTGGATTGTTGCCATTTGCCTGTGTTTTAGTTCAAGTGTGTTTTCACCATCTGTTCTTTGAGTTTTGGTTGAGATATTTTTGTCGTTTTGTCTCTAAGGTAGCTGTTTCCTGCTGAGTTAGTTCCCATGAGATTTTTAACTTTGGTCGAGAAGGTTTGTAGTCTGCTTGTGTGTTGATAATTAATTGATTCCAATTCTCATTGTATTGTATTTTGCACCTTTCTTGTAATTCCAATCCTCTTTGAGGCTTCTATATAATACTGTGGTGTGTAGGCTCCAGCCGCGTGTTTTTATGAATTCATATAGGTTAGTGAATCTGGTTTGGATGCTCTTTTCTTCATACGTTTGTTGTACATATGGTAGTGTGCGATTGCAGTGGATTTCTCCCCTACAAACGCTGTTTGTCGCTCAGTAGCCGACCCCACCAATTCCCCATTGTATGCCTCGTGGTCTAGGTCAACCAGCGCCGCCATACATCACGGAGCGGGGGTCAACTACTAAGCCACGCCTACCCCCCCGCTATTTAAGACCTGACCTCGTGGTGACCAGCTCCACAAGAACCTGGCAGGCCTCTCCATACAGTGTACCTTTAGACTAACATAACTAATATTTAACATTTAACATTTAACATTTAACATTGAACTAACATCTTAGTTAAAAAAAAAAAAAAAAATGTGACTACCCTCCCAGCTACACAAGGACCTGGGCGGGCTCACTAACTCCAAAAAAAAAAAAAAAAAAAAAATTAATAATATTAATAATAATAATGTGATTACCCTCCCAGCTATATCAGCCAGGAAGAAGTAATTGAACCACCTCCTGCCTCAATATACACATTTCTACATAAAACATTACTAGAGGAATAAAGATGAGAGTGACCAACCAGCTCCACTAAGAACCTGGCAGGCCTCTCCATACAGTGTACCTTTAGACTAACACAACTAACACTTAACTAACACCTCAAAAAAAAAAAATGTGACTACCCTCCCAGTTACACAAGGACCTGGGCGGGCTCACTAACTCCAACAATAACAAAAATAATAATAATAAGCAGCATTACATAAATAAACCAATATTAATACAAAGGTCTGACGACCCAAGGGAGCAGAACAAAGACAAAACACCAATAAGAAAGATGAAGCGATCTGGTTGAGCCCAGATTCTTTCTACTCCTACTGTATTTCAGTTTCACCACTTTTCCTTCAACTCCTAATAATCTTCTTTCACCTCTTAACTAAAGACTTCGTATCGTATCGACCTGTCTCTTTTCTACCTACACCAACCAGCCAGGAACACCTCCTCCGCCTGCCTGGTGGTCCTCGCTCCCGCCGGCGAGCATGGCGACCCACAGGCTGGTCCTCCTCTGAGCACCCTCACCTACCAGCTCTCTCTACACCACGCTTGTAACCATGCTGCCTTCCCAGCACCAAGCTGCATTGTACATCCAATACAACATGTATATAGAGAGCACATTGTGAGTTTCCTTTCTCCAACCCATCCTGAGTGAACACCAAACAATCTCATACCCCATACGATATGTTGTTTTGGTGATGTTTTTTCATGGCTGTTGCAATTTTTGTATACCAGGTTTCTAAGGTAATATCGATCTCGTTTGTTGTGGGTAGGTGGTCACTGGTGCTGGTGGGTCCAGGTTTTATGTGTGTGTGTAAATGGTGGTGTCTGTTGGTCAGAATAACGTCGGGTTTCCCTGAGTTTTCCGGTGTTATAAATGATTGGAAGTCTGGGCCGAGGTGTGTAATGCTGCCTTTTTCATTTAGGTTATGCAGAATTACTCCAGCTGGATTTATGTTGTGGAGTTCAAGGGTTGTATGTCGAGCATTCAAATCGCATAGGAAGTATGCCGGGCTGTTTCGTCTGGCTAGTTTTAGGAATTTTTTTTTTAGATTACCCCTGAGGGGGTTAGTTTATTGGGCACCCCCTTACATCCTGTGCAAGGTGAAGCGCAGAAGCGTTTAAGGCGCCCATCTGGAAAGCATGCGTAGTTCATGCTTGTCTTTATGACTCATGCATTAAGGGTGTAAAAGCCTGAGTCTCCTGTCGGGAATATTGGTCTGATCTTGTGATATCGAGCTTTAAATCTGTAGAGTAACTTTCGTATTGGTCTATTATCGTACATCACTAGCACACGCACTCCGTCCAATACAAGTCCATGGCCGAGAATCACATGAGCCAAGTAACAACAAATGCAGTTGCCAGTGATCATAATAAAGGGGAATTTGGGGGTGATTTTTTTCATCTATACCGTATTGAACTGTCATAATAAGAATTACACGTAAAATTTATGGTTTAAATATTAAAAATTATAACGCGTTAGGGTATAATACCAGCCATTTAAAATCGGTGGAAGACATCGTCGCCCGCGCGTCTCTGCTTTGGGACGAAACGTTTCGCTTAGCTTATACGTATTGAAAAGTATGCATGCGCCAGATTTAACATTGGATAATGTAAAGTAGTCCCCGTATGACATCATATAGTAGGTAAGTGAGTAAGTACTGCTTATATACTACAATAAGTGCCTCATTATAGGGCCAAAACAACGCAAGTACCGCAATATAGCAGGAGAAGTTTGGGCGGCGGATTTGGCACTTCTTGGAACAGGTTGCATCATGCTTAACTCGCCCACCTCTATAGTGAAGAGTGGTGACACTATTTTCTCAGTAATATCTTAGATAGACGGAACAATTAGAACTCCACGGCAATGGCGATAATGTTTGTATAAAGGAAATGAGGATGGTTTATTTAACTTGACTATTACCTTTGATTGCACAAAGCCTATAAGAACATAAGAATGGAGGAAACTGCAGCGGGCCTATTGGCCCATACTCGGCAGTTCCATTTACACCCAACCCTTATTGCTCATATATCCATCCAACCAATGTTTGGAGTTATCCAGTGTATTGGAGTTAATGATGATATTTGGTAACTTGTTCCACTCGTCCACTACTCTATTTCCAAACCAATGTTTGCCTATTTCGCGCCTAAATCTAAATTTGTCTAATTTAAAACCAATGTTACGAGTTCGCTCCTGGTTGGATAGTTTGAGTACCTTTGTAGTGCCCACTCTGTTTAGCCATGACTTCCATTTATACACCTCTATCATATCGCCCTTTACTCTACGTCTCTCGAGGGAGTGCAAATTAAGATGCTTTAACCTGTCTCTGTACTCAAGGTTTCTAATGCCCGGGATTCGTCTTTTCGTTCTCCTCTGAATTCTTTCTAAGGATTCTATATCCATTCTGTAATACTGTGACCAGAATTGAACTGCGTAATCCAAATGAGGTCTCACAAGCGCAAGATAAATATATATTATCTACCTACGTGAGACTGCAAAAGTGTTGGGCTGTAGGATTTGCGCGTGTGTGTGTGTGTGTGTGTTAAAGTTCTAGGGTGATTATCGATCCGTATTTTGAAGTTTATTGTCATCTCTGAAGATTAGCCCCAGCTTATTTTACCTGATGATTAAACACCACAATGTTATCTGGGGAGGGAGTTAGGTTAGGGTAGATAGGGTTAGGTCAGTGTTGGATTCGGTTAGATTAGGTTAGGTTAATGTTAGAGTGTTTAATCATCAGGTTAGGTTAGCGTAAGGGTGTTTAATCATCAAGTTAGGTTAGGTTAGTGTTTAATTGGTTTATTCCATCATCGTCTACACCTGTGGTTCTTATTTTATTTTTCCCTTTCTGTCTCCTGTGAAAATGTCACATATTTCCGGAACATCAACTACTGGGTATAAGTTAATGATCACTGCTAGTTATTACCTCAAGATTATCAAGTTCAGTCATGTTAATATTGTTATTATTATCGACTACCCTGTATGTATCTGTGTTTTTATGGTTAAATAAACTGTTTCAATATCAATATCAATAACATATCCTAACCTATTTAGAACTATCCTAGAATAGACAAACAATCAACCTGAATCGGATAGTAAGTAGCCAAATGAGTAGAAATACTGTAATGGGTATGTGGACGAGATGAGTGTGGACGAAATGGGTGTGGGCGATATTGTAATAAACAGGAACTTGCTGAATAAATTTAACTTGAAAAATACCTCTTTTCATTTCCCTTCCTAACTAATACATTAACCTAAGAATGGTAGGGGGGTTCACCCAGTAACAGATGGCTGGATACCCGAGTATAGAATCAAATAACCCACCTTTAACTCCAGTGCTGAATAGAGTAGATCAACAACTTTTGTTACAAAATGAATGTGGACGAAAAGGGTGTGGACGAAATGGGTGTGGACGAAATGGGTGTGGACGAAATGGGTGTGGACGAAATGGGTGTGGACGAAATGGGAGGACGAAATGGGTATGGACGAAATGGATGGACAGTGGACGAAATGGGAGTGGACGAAATGGGTATGGACGAAATGGGTGGACATGGGTATGGACGAAATGGGAGTGGACGAAATGGGATGGACGAAATGGGGTGGACGAAAGTGGACGAAATGGATGGACGAAATGGGAGTGGACGAAATGGGAGTGGACGAAATGGGTATGGACGAAATGGGAGTGGACGAAATGGGAGTGGACGAAATGGGTATGGACGAAATGGGAGTGGACGAAATGGGAGTGGACGAAATGGGTATGGACGAAATGGGAGTGGACGAAATGGGAGTGGACGAAATAAGTGTGGACGAAATGGGAGTAGACACAAAAATAGAGTAAAATCAATCGTTTACAATGGTCTATCATGCACCTAGAGACAGTGAACAAGAAGTTGATTTAACCTTACTATATGATAGCTTAAGGTAGGTTAAATAGCTACCATTCGGCATTGATATAGTACTCAGTCGCCTCTCAGTTAATAAGTAACATGTTAAAACTTAATGAAAAAACAACAACATTATTTTAATTATCTTTATTCGTTTTAATATACCTGTAGTTTCACTTGAAGATTAGGCTCCCCAGCTTATTTTCACCTATGTTTAACCACTTCAGCGTTTAACCTTATCTAGCCTAACCTAACATAAACTACTCTTACCTTAAACTAACCTAACTAATCTAATCTAACCTAACCTAACATAAACTACTCTAACCTTAAACTAACCTAACTACTCCAACCTTAAATTAACCTAACTAATCTAACCTAACCTAACATAAACTACTCTAACCTTAAACTAACCTAACTAATCTAATCTAACATAAACTACTCTAACCTTAAACTAACCTAACTAATCTAACCTAACCTAACATAAACTACTCTAACCTTAAACTAACCTAACTAATCCAACCTAACCTAACATAAACTACTCTTACCTTAAACTAACCTAACTAATCCAACCTAACCTAACATAAACTACTCTAACCTTAAACTAACCTAACTAATCTAATCTAACATAAACTACTCTAACCTTAAACTAACCTAACTAATCTAACCTAACCTAACATAAACTACTCTAACCTTAAACTAACCTAACTAATCTAATCTAACATAAAACTCTAACTTCTAACCTAACTAAACTAACCTAACTAATCTAACCTAACCTAACATAAACTACTAACCTTAAACTAACCTAACTAATAACCTAACATAAACTACTCTAACCTTAAACTAACCTAACTAATCTAACTAACCTAAAATAAACTAACCTCTAACCTAAACTAACCTAACTAATCTAAACTACTCTAACCTTAAACTAACCCTAACCTAATCTAACCTAACCCTACTCTTCAACCTAACTAAACTAACCTAACCTAAATAACCAACCTAACCTAACCTAACTAAAACCTAACCTAACTAACTAACCTCTAACTAACCTAACTAAACTCCTAACCTTAACTAATCCAAAACATACTCTAACCTTAAACTAACCTAACTAATCTAACCTAACCTAACATAAACTACTCTAACCTTAAACTAACCTAACTAATCCAACCTAACATAAACTACTCTAACCTTAAACTAACCTAACTAATCTAACCTAACATAACATAAACTACTCTAACCTTAAACTAACCTAACTAATCTAACCTAACCTAACATAAACTACTATTACCTTAAACTAACCTAACTAATCCAACATAACATAATCTACTCTAACCTTAAACTAACCTAACTAATCTAACCTAACCTAACATAAACTACTCTAACCTTAAACTAACCTAACTAATCCAACCTAACATAAACTACTCTAACCTTAAACTAACCTAACTAATCTAAACTAACCTAACATAAACTACTCTAACCTTAAACTAACCTAACTAATCTAACCTAACCTAACATAAACTACTCTAACCTTAAACTAACCTAACTAATCCAACCTAACCTCACCTAAACTAACCTAAACTAACTTAACCTAACCTAATCCAACCTATTAACCTAACCTCTCCCAGGTGAAATAAACTGGGGCTAATCTTCAAGCGATCTAAACTTTTTGAATTACAACTGCTTGCTGGAGGGTTGTTACAAGGTTATTCATCTTCAAGTGTCACAGAAAATGGTGCGCAATCCTCTAAGCAAATATCCCCTTAAGAAAGTGGCCGAAGCGAAACGTGTGTTATCCAGTGTGACCCTATCAAACATGGCAGCTTTTCTTCAGGTACTCCGGTTTTATCTTGTACTAACACAGAACAGAGTTAATACTGTAATACTAATAACAACAAAGTAACAAAACAGAAAGACCACCCAAACGACTACCAAGTTGATATGTTGTGAAAAGCTACATTACGCATATCATTTATGAGCCAACACAAGACGCAGACTTATGGCCAGGGCTGGGAGAGTTTCTTTCAGCTGTCCGCCCCAACCTCACCCTCAACCCCTCCCCCACTTCTCTTTCCTTCCCATCCTCCCCTTCTTCCCCCTTTCTCTCTAATATATGTATGTAGGATCACCAGAAGATTAGCTTCCAAGCTTATTACATATGAGTTTTAAGCTAACACCTAGTGAATAATTTGCAAAATTTAAAATGTTAAAATTCGACGACATTATCACTTACTGCTATGCTCTATTTCTTTATAAATCTGGTAATCACTTGATTGGGAATAATTATTTCCAGTTCCGGAAGAACCAGAGGTACAACTAAGACACCCAGAGCTACTAAGACCCCACCTCCCTCCATGCGCCCCTCTCAGTCCCAGACCTCCATAAGATATCATGGTGGGAAGGTGTGGAACAACTTACCCTCACCCATCCCAGCAAAGACTACGCCCCCTTCCTTTGAATCATCTCTTAAAAAATATCTATTGTCAAAGTATTAGTATTTTTGTTACATTTAATTTATACTTGTCATGGGTGCGTTGGGCTTACCCACCAAGCCAACACCAATGTTTGTTTTATGTGATAGACACCAGGCGAGCCGTGACTCCGTCATCACTATTTCATTAGTGGGTATGTGAGCCCGTCTACGGGGGGCGATTGAGACAGTGTTGTACTGTTCATCGTGTTTCACGCTCCCAAAACCACATTTTTAGCAGTAGACCCTAGGCCTAGACCATGGATTAATTAAGACGTCCTCATCCTCCCCTTCCTTAAAGGAATGGGACGCTACACAGAGTCCTTTACCGCGACACCGTTCTGTGGTCACTAGTTCTCCTGCGCGACACCGTCTATAATGACTGTCAGTGACACGAGACTATGTGTGCCAACCCAAGGTTTTGTTATTCCCCGTGGAAGGAAGATCATATGTGGAAGCCTGGTTGCAACAAGAGCGATCCAGGCTGGCAGTAAATGTATTACTTGAGGAATTAAGGCTCTGTTAAGTCATACCTATAGTAAAGTAATCAAATGTGCGTCCTCAGGTTGAAAATTCCTTCTTTACAAGATTAATTTTATTATGGCGTGAATGTGAATGACTCATATATTCATGCAAATTGTAAATCATTGTATGGAAGCTTGCCAAGTAAATGTAAATGTAATTATCTGCCCGTATCTGTGATCCCTATCTTATTATTACTAAAGGTAATGTAATTATCTGCCCGTATCTGTGATCCCTATCTTATTATTACTAAAGGTAATGACTGATTGGATGTTGGAAATTAATGGGATTCATTAAATCATCATTTATCAAGTATAAATCACATGGAATTTCTAAGCAGATACACCATAATCACCTGTAAGTAACCAATGTAAAGGTCTCTAACTCTACGGTAAGAAATAAGAAACACATATACTACATATATCCATCCCCGCACGAATAAAGAATTCCGTGACAATACTCTTACTTTTACCACCAAAACCATTATGTCATATAATGTTACGTAGATAATCGTAGAAATATTGTGGGAACATTCTCCTATGTATTTGCTAACACCATTTTACGTATACTAATCCAGATAACACTAAATGTTATATAATAATTACTTGAGATAAATGTACAGTATTGTACATATCAGGTGCCATTAAGAGAGCTCCGTCTCTCAATTGGCTCAGCCATGCCAATATTGTTATCATTTACCACTGTATCCGTATTGTTTGGCTAAATAAACTTTCAATATCAATAGCCCAAGGGGTTAGATTAGATTATGTATGATCAAGTTAGGTTGGATAAGGTTAGGTTAGGGCAGGTTATATTATGTACGGTTATGTTAAGTTAGTGTTAGGGTGACTAATCATCAGATGAAATACGCTGGGGACTAATCGTCAGGTGATCTAAAAAGATGTCGTCATTCAGCTCAGTGATCTTATTGAAGTTTGAACAATAATGATATGACTAACACTTATAATGAGAGGTTATCGATGCGCGTGTGTGTGTGTGTGTAGGCGGAGGAGCACTTCACTTGCCTTGCTAAGAGATAAGATACACAGCATGTATAAGGCATGTCGTCCTCATCAAGGCCACAACTATTTGTAAAATCATATGCAGTAGCAGTTGCTGTTGTCCAGGGATCGATCTCTCTCTCTTTCTCTACCAATAGTGGTGTCCCACAGGGTTCTGTTCTTTCACCTACTCTCTTCCTTTTTTTTATCAATGATTTACTTCACACTACGACTAATTCTATCCATTCTTACGTTGATGACTGTACTCTTCACATCCCCTCCCAAAAGCTGGGAATGCTGTACAGATGCCGTAGCTACTTCACGCCTGAGCAGTTTTTTTTATTTTTTTTATTTTTTTTTTTACGGGGATTAGCCCACCTGGGCACAGGTCACTGACCCACATCAGGGCCTGGGGTGAAAATATGATGATAATAATAATGATAATAATAATAACTATTATTATTATTATTATTATTATTATTATTATAATTAAAAAAATAATAACACAATACCTGTACTAAAAATAATATACTAAAAATAATAATGATGACCATAAATAAATACAAGAACGAGAAAAATAAATAAAGAATGAGAAACGATATACATTATGCATATTGTGTTGTCAAAGTAAGAGAAACAATTGAGACCCAGCAATTGTGTGTAAATGAGGCAGAAAGTCAGATCAGCAACCTGAGACTTGGTCACAATTTTCGTGATGCCAGTTGCTTCAAGTATATAAGGGTTCGTCCTAGCTTGGAGTACTGCTCTCATACCTGGAGTGGCTCTTCTTCTGTCCAACTATAAGATAGGGTGGAATCAAAGGCATTTCGTTTTATTAACTCTCTCTCTTTTACAGGTACTTTAACGGGAATTGTTCGGTGGATTTGGCATTCTGCGTACCGCCGGAAAGGCCGTAGGCTCGTAACACATATTTTTTCGCCCCCCCCCCCTCCCCCAGGCCCCGTTGTGGGTCAATGACCTGTGCCCGGGTGGGCTATTCCC